TTGGTATGTGGTGCTGAGGATCGAACCCGGGCCGCACGCATGCCAGGCGAGCGCGCTACCGCTTGAGCCACATTCCCAGCCCTGCCTTGTAGGTTTGATTAAAGTACATGATCAGTTGACTTCAGTTAAGTGGGCTCTGATTCAATCAGAGAAAAAGGTCATTAAGAGCAGAACTGAGGTTTTCCTGAAGAAGAAATTTTGCCTGTGGACTATAGCTTCAGCCTAAGAATTCACTTGCCTCTTCTATTTCAGACTCACTTAGCCAGCCCCACAATTGCCTAAGCCAAGTCCTTGCAATAAACTTCCTGGTATGTATCTCCTACTTGATCAGTTTCTTTGGCTGAACTCTCATTGATAAGCTCCCACCCCTAGAGTCCTAAGCAACTATTAATCTGCTTTTTGCCCCTATGGATTTGCCCATTCTAGACATTTAAAATACATGGGATCATACAACATGTGCTCTTTTGTGACTGGCTTTCACTTAGCATGTTTTTAAGTGTCACCAATGTAGCATGTATCAATACTTGGTTCCTTTTATGGCTGGATAATATTGCATTGTATGGAAATGTTTTGTCTATCAATGTACCAAATATTTCCACTATTTGGCTATCATGAATAATACTGTTATGGACATTTATATATAAGTTTTTGGTAGACATAGGTTTCATTTCTCAGTATATACCTAGGACTGGCTCTGCTGAGTCACATAGCTCTATGCTTAACATTTTGAGGAACTTCCAGACCGTTTACTCCACATTATCGTCAATAGTTGGGTATTTCATTGTGGTTTTCATGCCTATTTTCCTGATGACTAACACTAATGATGGTAAATATGTTTTCATGTGTTTGTCACTTATGTAAATTCTTTTGAAAAATGTTTAAATCCTTTGTCCAGTTTCAACTATTCATATATATATATATATATATATTACTGTTGAGTTGTAAAAGTTCTTTATATATTCTGGATACAAGTCCCTTATCAGATATATGACTTGCAAATATTTATTTTCACACATTATATGGGTTGACTTTTTTCTTCATGGTTAGTTTGTTGTGCTTTTGGTATTGTATCTAAGAAACCATTGCCCAACCCAAGGTCCAAATTTACCTTTACCAAGATTTACTCCTATGTTGTCTTCTGGTAGTCTTATTAGCTCTGTCATTTAGGTATATGATCCCACACACAGACTTCTACAAGTCTTACCTATTGGTAGTGCTTCCCCAGGGAAATACCATGGCACTATCAAAAAAAGAAACGAACTATTGTGTTTAAAACAAAATGTACAATGTGTACTCTTCAGCATTCTGATCTCAGTTGAGAACAATATTTGAAATGAGCCAGGGCTCTCTGTAGGACAAATAAATGCTTTCATAAAGATGTCACTTTTGAATGGAGTGCAATCTATGACCTATTTACTTATGAACCAGCTCAAACAGCTTGCTGCCATAGCATGAGGGAAGAAAGACTTTACTGTGAGAATCGGGGGGGGGGACCCCAAAACAACAACAAAACACTCTAATCACTAATTTGGTCTAAACAAGGGAGCTTAGAGTTTCCTGTGGCTTTCATAAACTATTTACTTTTTGCTCAAGGAAGATGACTAAAAACTCTTTTAATATCTTGTGACCTGAAAATATTTAATGTAAATATAATAGTCCTATTATAGGTGAGCACCACTGCACCTAGCTTTTTTTCTATCTTTGCCTTTTACCTTTTCTTCCGTCTGTCTTTTACAATGCCATCAATAGGGCAGCATTGAAGGGGGAGATTTACAAGGTTTTCTTTTCCTTTTTCCTTCTTTCTTAAGATTCTGGGGATGGAATCAAGAGCCTCATATTTGCTAGGTAAGCACTCTACCACTGAGCTACTCCACCAGTCCTATAAGGACTTTGATTAAGGTTATTTCACAGTTTGAGATAGGCAGGGAGAAGAGTCACTTCCTTGGCTATTCTTTTGTCTTTCAGAGTTCAGGAATAAAGTACTACACTTGATTAAGAAAATAAAAGCCCCTAAATATGAGACATAGGTGATTTATTCAGTATGTCAAGGGAACAAAATGTGAAGTGAAATGCTTGCTTATAAAAACAAACTTTTCTTTCATCCAGAAATTTCCTTGGCCATAATTTCATAAACATAAATAAGCCTGAACTTCAGTCACATCTGGAGTTTGACCTGATTGTACCTTTACTCCTGTGTGCTGGCTAATTACTGATCTGAAACATGAATAAAAGGATATTAGACAGGAGGTTTACAGAGTGAAAACCAATACCTTAACCAAGTTTCTTTCAACCCACGGTGAACAAAACCATTATTTCAAATGTTTGCCTTTAATCAAAATTAAGCTTGAAAGTGAATTTAGTTCCACAAATATAATGCTGATCCCCTCAAAATTGTTTTTGCATTAGACTTGGTAAACTAAAAAGTGATAACTTTCATACTCATGGTTTATTAGTCAGTTTATACAATAGGAATGAATATTGCTGGCCACAAAGAAAAGTGTTCTCTAAATATTTAGCTTTTCTCAAACGATAAGTGCAAGGTACATTCATTAAACATGACAATGACAATAAAAGTCCCATCTATTTTCCCAGAAGTCAAGGATTCTGAATTATGGTTCCACATTCATAAAAATCAATAATACTCACTACATGGCCTAATTTTAACTTTCATTGACTTCCTGTTTGACCTCTAGTAAGTCCTATTTTTAACACATGTATATGCAAAACACACATTTCATCTATGCTTTGGATTTTCTTTGGGGTATTTAGATAATTGATTTATTCATTAGGATTAGGTGCTCTGCATTATGTCGGCCACTACTGGGCTAGGATCCAGCATTGCACTTGGGACAAAAGCTGCTGACCCACAGGCCTAGACACCTCTACCCTACACTCTGGGTGGTACTGTCAGTCAGCTCAACTGGCTCTGAGTTCTGCTATGTACTACTGCTTAGCTTTTGTCTCAAGGTGTGATAAAGGTGGTAAGATTGGTGAAGGCATTTTTTAGTATTCCTAATCCTTTCTTTCCTCTGGTTGAAGCAGAAGAAAATCTTGATGGTTTTTGTTTGTTTGGTATCAGGTATTGATCCCAGGGGCGCTTAACCACTGAGCTACATTCCCAGCCATTTTTATCTTTTATTTTGAAACACAATCTCACCAAGTTGCTAAATTGCTAAAGCTGGCTTTGAACTTGCAATCCTCCTGACTTGGCCTCCCAAGCCTCTGGGATTGTAGGCATGCACCGCCACCCCTGAACCAATCTTGATTTTTTTACAAAGCACTCTTTCTTGGGAATCTGTCATCACAGAACAAACCAAGCCACATTTATCTCTTCAGGGGAGTTTAAGTCAATTTGTAAGGTAGAGAACATTCCCTCCAAAGTCCCTGAAGTTCTTCAAATAGAACTACAGAACTATGTTGATTATGTTGCAGATAAAGTAGATGGAGAGTCATGGTTTTTATTATAAGGAGATATGACCATAAAAGATGGAATAAGAAGTATAACAGTAGATAGAAGTATCTTGGGACAGAAAAAGAATAACAAGAATAAAGCTGGCAGCTGGGACTGTAGCTCGGTCTGTGGTAGAGTGCTTGCCTAGCATGTGGGAGTCACTAGGTTCGATCCTCAGCATCATATAAAAATAATATAAAGGTTATTGTGTCCAACTACAACTGAAACAAATTTTTAAAATGCTTTAAAAAAGAATAAAACTGGGCATGATGACCCATGCATGTAGTCCCAGCAACTCAGGAAGCCAGCCTCAGGAATATAGTGATATCCTGGCTAAAAATAAAAAATAAAAAGGGATGGGCATGGTGGCACATTCCTGTAACCCCAGAAGCTCAGAAAGCTGAAGAAGGATTGCAACTTAAAAGCTGGCCTAGACAACTTAGTGAGGCCCTGTCTCTAAATAAAATTTTAAAAAAGGGCTGGAGATGTGGCTCAGTTGTTGTGCCCCTGGGTTCAATCCCTGGCACCAAAAACTTAAAAAAAAAATTAAAAATAAAAAATGAAAAGGGCTGGAGATGTAGCTTAGTGTAAAGCACACCTTGGCCCATTCCCTAACACCCCAAACAAATAGAGTACAAATGTACCGAATTCAGGAATAAGGCAAGAGAGAAGAGAGAGAAAATGGCACTTTGAAAGTATAAAGAATTGGAGAAACACTTTAGGGACTAAAGTACTTATTTTTTTTTTTTTGGTGCATTATATGGGCCACTACTCAGGCCATTGAACTCAGGGCCTTGTGCATGCTGTCTATGCTCCCCCACCAAGCTACATCCTTAGCCTCCATATATGCATTTGTTTTTTGTTTTGGTACTGGTGATTGAACCCAGGGGTGCTTAACCATTGAACCATATCCCCAGCCCTTTTTGTATATTTTATTTAGAGACAGGGTCTCACTAAATTGCTTAGGGTCTTGCTAAGTTGTTGAGGCTGGCTTTGAACTCACAATCCTTCTGCCTTAGCCTCCCAAGCCACTAGGATTACAGGCGTGCACCACCATTCCCAACCCCAAATATGCATATTTTATATTCCCTATAGTTCAATATACATAGAAGGCCTGGAAAGTATTAAATATAAAAAGAAAGCTGCACTTGAATACAAACAACCAGGAAAAGATCTTTGGGCCACCATCCATAAATCAAAAATAGTTCAAAGGGTAACTAAGCTATCTGTGTTGGTAGGTAATTCCTCTGCTGTACTAAACACAGATCAAACAATAGTAGAGCTTGGTGATACCTAACCCCACCACCAAATGGAGGAGTTAAGAGGTTTCAAAGAAACATTTCAATAGTGACTGAAGGATTAGCAATGAGAAGTAATACTGTACATTAAGGAGGCACTCAAATACCTATTGATTAATTATCTCCAGAGCATGCTGAGGTATAGGCCATTTCTTCTTAATATTCTATAGATCAAGCAACCTCAATGAAGAAACTCATGGAATTTCCACTTTGCAGAGTGACAGAACCCCAAGACAAATGGAGAAAGCATATTTATAATTTAGGCACAGCTTTAATATATTTGTATGATTTGTCCAGTAACACAAAAAAGTAAGATTTCTGGGTGACTAGGATTATCCAATGTACAACTTTGCTTTAGCTCACTGAATTCAGTAACAATACCAGCTGTGTTCCTGCCATTTTGGTTCTATTAAAAGTATTTAATACTAATACATGCATTTCTATTTGTGCATGGCTATCTTCCCAACCGTTATCGATTCTGGAAGATCAACAATTAGGAATTATACTGAAGACAAGCATCAAAGGCTTACAGTTTCCAAAACAGTCTAAAATTTGGAAATTTAAAATTCTCTCATATTGCCCTTGCCATCCTTCCTGGCTAGTTGACAATTCAAAAAAAGAGACTCCTGCTGATCCTTGCCCTGGGAACAGAGAAATCCATCTGTGGTGCATTCAAGGGCCACAAAGTGGGAGGACACAACTATACAAAGAGTTGATACACATAGCCACATCCCCATTCATCCACTGGCAGAGCACATATACTGCTTCATTATGAATCTCACTTCCATTCAAGATCTGGAAGATCTGTATAAACTGGGAGATGACAGTCCCAACAAGGGTTACTATTACAGTTTTCTTCTGTTATGTCTTCTAATTAGTACAAGCAAACTGTGTTATTTATTGTTCCTTGTGTTGGTTTTTTTCTTCTTCCACATTTTTTATTGGTGTTTTGTAGTTGTATATATTGATGGGATCTGTTGTTACATATTCATACATCCATACAATATAACAATATAATTTGGCCAATATCACTCCCCAGCATTTCCTTGTGTTGATTTTTAAAGCATCATCTCTTACCTAGAGCCCCTCTCCTCTGCCCTCCTTTGGGTTTGGGGAATCAAACTCTGCAGACTGCTATCTGCTACTGTCCAAAGAAGAGTTAATGTTGTCTTTAGCAAACAACATGCATACACACAGAAACATGCACCACGCACACTAACTATGCATATATGTGAATACAAGATATGCTTAAACTATCAATGATATCGGTAAAGAAAGCAGGACACCTTTTTTTAATTTGGATTTTAATTATGTACATAAATAGTGACATGAGAATGAAGAGTTCTAAGGCTTGTACATTATCTCCAGGTAAAAGGATTTCAGCTTAGTCCACTTGTGGTATGGCATTACCCAAGATAATGAAAAGGCCTACTATAGATTTTCCTGAAGAAGAAGGCCAGTTTACTATATTCAATACTGACTTCTCTGCCATTTTTTTCTGTAGAAATACTGATTTACTGTCTGGAGTTTCCATTGTTTACCTACAACTAAAAGAAAAAAAAAGAAAAACATAAGCAAACTGTGCCAGAAAAAAATGACTCTAAAATTTAATATTTTGAAAATCTTTAGATTTAAATAGAGAAACCACATAAAATATTATGTTATTATTACATGACCTTAAGGATCATGAGCCAGAGAAAACTATAATTATTCTCATTTCACAAATGAACACTCAGATTCTCAACTGGCTGTGTCTCTATGCATAATTAAACAGATAAATGGATGAATATGAAGTAAAGGCCTAAATGACACAGCACACACCATACCTCTCTCTCCCTCTAAAGATCAAACAACTACATTTCCATGCATCTGCTGGAGGAGAGAATATTATCCTCAGATATATACCTCTCCTCATATCACCTCATCATTGTCTTTCAGAATGAAACATGTGATTTCAAAGACATGTCAAAGCCAAACTGAGTCTTCTCCAGATTGCTTTTTTCCTTATATGTAATGAATACAAAGAAGTAACTGGAGATTTAGAAATATTTTATTGTTTTTGAAATGCTGGGGATTGAACCACACATATGCTAGGCAAGCACTCTACCACTGCACTACATCCTCAAAACCAATATTTTAGAGGCCAGTGAATATTCACTTGATCATTTAATACAAACCCCCAAAATTGTAAGTTAAACATATAGACCACTAACATCTTTTCTATGTCAATTTATTAATCTGTTTTTGGCTTCTCTAAGAATTTGATACATTTACTACATTGTTAAACTCTAAAAACTGGAAACAACCTATATTAACAAGGATTAAGCAGACCACAATAGTAATCCAAACTAGGAAATCATTAAATAAATAAAAAGGGAATGAGGCCAGGTACAGTGCCACACACCTGTAATCCCAGCCATTCAGGAGGCTGAGGCAGGAGGATTGCAAGTTCAAAGCTAGCCTCGGCAACTTAGAGAGACCCCGTCTCAAAATTTAAAAAAAAAAAAAAAAGGGAGGGAGGATATTAAATTTTTAAAAAGTGGGCTCAGTGGTATGCATTCAAACCCCATTACCAAAAAGAAAAATAAAAACAAAAAGGAAAAAAAGAAGGAATGAGATGGATCTATAACTACTGACAATAAACTATGTAAATAATATATTAAGTAAAAAAAAAGTAGGGTCATTCATTCATTCAACATAGCTAAACATACTACCATCTATGAAGTATTCTTACCAAAAAATGGAACCTAATATGGTTAAGTCTTTGGATCTAATTATCTATTTATGAGAAATAGAAGAAAAGAACCAAGGGGCTGGGGCTGGGGCTCAGTGGTAGAGTCGTGCCTAACATGTGTGAGGCACTAGGTTCGATTCTCAGCACCGCATACAAATAAATAAAATAAAGGTCCATTGATAACTAAACAATAAAGAAAAGAGCCAAGAAACAATGGAGTGACAGTAAATGGATGTATTCAATCACAGCCAGAACATGGTAAATTCTAAAGGACAAATAAACGAAGTTTTCAATGAAAAAAAAAATGGTAAAGGATTAATGAGGCAGAGAGAACCATCACAATTTAAAAGTTATACTCCACGTATGTAGAATATGTCAAAATGCACCCTACTGTCATGTATATCTAAAAAGAATTAAAAAAGAAAGTTAATGGGTAATATCAGTACCAACTAAAAAAAGAGACTTAAGTCAAGCACAAGGGGCAGACCTTTTTTGAATCCTGGTTCAAACAAACTACAAAAATGTTATTAATGAGTCAGGTGCAGTGGCATATGCCTGTAATCCCAGTGATCTGGGAAGCTAAAGAAGGAAGACAGCAAGTTTGAGGCTAGCCTCAGCAACTCAGCAAGACCATGTCACAAAATAAAATATAAAAAAGGGCTGGGGATGTAGCTCAGTGGTAGAGTACCCCTACGTTCAAAATTCCCACTACCAAAACAAAAATTTATTAATGAGACAATCATGGAAATTTGTACACTGATTGGGTATTAGATGGTACTCAGGAATTACTGTTAATTTCTTTACTTGTCATAATACAATTATGATTATGATCTCATTTTGTCAAAAAAACAAAAGCATGCATGTATGCATATATATGTATTTATATAAACACGCGTGCGCGCACACACATACACATATATTATATATAAACTAAAAAATACAAAATGATACTAAAATTATGAACCAAAATTACCTCTTGGAAAGGAATAAAGAAAAGCTTTGAAAATATTTATGTGGGACTGGGAATGCAGCTCAGTGGTACAGCATTTGCCTAGCAAGTGTAAACTGTGGGTTTGATCCCAAAGGAAAAAAATCTGATTAGATTATAAAAGAAAACACATACTATTTGCAGAAAATTTTAAAAATACAGAAAGTTACAAAAAACCCCAAAAAACTTAAAATTCATCCCACTACCTGAAAGATACATGCTTTAATTTCCTGCTATATATAAATTGAAAGAGGAACTGGATTTGTTTTCTATGACCCAAAGCAGGATTAGTACCACTGCATAGGAGTCAGAGGAGACTTCACTTAGTAAAAGAAATAGCTTCCTAAACATTAGAACTGTCCAAAGACAGCTGTGCTGTCTGGTGTTTCCTATCAGTAGAGGTGTAAAAGGGAGAACACACAGGGTTATAAGGAATTCTGCTTGAGGCTTAGGTTGGGTCAGTATTCCCTCAAATTTTAAGTTTATATGACTTTCTAGCTCTCTACAAATATGGAAATAGCTTGAAGAAAAAAAACTAAAATTCATCATTCTCATGAATTTTAAATAGTAACCATAATTTTCAATAAATATAATACAAAAGTTTAAGAAATTTTCTGATTATATGAGCTGGAGATATAGCTCAGTGGTAGAGGCCTGGGGATCAAACCCCAGAACCACACATGTGTGCGCATGTGCACGCACACATACACACACACACAAAAAAAAAAAATTTCTCATTATAAAAGGAAATTCATATTCATTGCAGAAAATATTAAAAATACAGAAAAGCTGTAAAGAATATAAAAATAATCCTACTACCTGAAAGATGCACACTTAAATTTTTATGTATCATGGTCTAACAATGTAACATATTACCATTTTCTTTTCTCCGCTGAATAATAATTGTATATATACTCCCATGCAAGCACATATATTTTTGAAACAGAATAATATTCCTCGTTATGAATATACCATAATTAAACTATTTTATAGGTTGTTTACAAATTCAATATAATCAAACTATCAGGATATCATAAGAGCTATTGTAAAAATTTTTAATATATACACAAAGTAATATTGATATAAATAGTGTTTTTGTACTTAGCAGGTGATTGATAAGTAAATATTGATTTAAAAAATGAAAATAATCAATGGAAGGGTAACTGATGTGAAACAGCAATCTGTATACGGGGTAAAGTTGGGAGTTCATAACCCACTTGAATCAAACTGTGAAAGATGATGTATTAAGAACTGTGTAATGTTTTGAACGACCAACAATAAAAAAAAAAAAAAAAAAAAGGACTTAAGATTTAAAAAAACACACAGTTATTTTCTGCCTTCATCTGATAAACCTTAAGTTTATCTAGCCTCAGATTATTTACTCTTCAAAGAAAATGATTATGCCTAATAATAAAGAAAGAATAAAGAACTTCCTATGTCACTTAATATTGCTACATAATCTTGAGCTTCCCTACAATAGTAATGTACTTAATAAATGTTTACTGAATTAGTATTAGATGAATCCAAGTATGCTTATTATAAGAAAGGGTTGTTTGAAAAAATAAACTAAAAAAATATGGGCATTTTTTGATTGTTTGAAATGGATTTGTAGTTGGGCACTGTGGCACATGCCTACAATCTCAGAGGATTGCAAGTTCAAGGCTGTCTCAGCAACTTAGCCAGACTCTTGTCTCAAAATAAAAACTAAAAAAGAATTGGGAATCTACCTCAAAAAGCATCCCTGGGTTCAATTCCAAGCAAAAAAAAAAAAAGAAGAATAAGAAGAAAGAATGAAAGAAAGAAAGAAAGAAAGGCAGGCAGGCAGTAGATTCATAGATAAATCCCAACTCTGTGGTTCTAGATTGTCCTAAAACAAACAAACAAAAAACCCAGGTGCTCCTCAGGAACAAATGAAGTTAAGTCATGGCACCTAAGCTCAGAAATTAAAGATGGAAAAATAAGCTCTATGTTTTCCACATAAGGTGAAAACTGCTATAATATATAAAATTAATTAAAAAGAAATCATTTCAGCTGGCCTGAACAATGCCAAAAATAACCAGAAATTTCTTGTTTTTACCTGATTAAAATGGGCAGAACATGGAGTTTTCTACTTATTTCCAGGTGAATTCTTCACATTTCCTGGCTTGTAAAACAAAAGTGAAAGCTTTAATGCAGTTTGAAAAGTAATAGAGAAACTCCTCAAAGTGTTTTCAGTATTTGGCTGAATACAAACATTAAGTGTCATTATTTTCTTGAGGGGTATCAAGCCATTTTTTTGAAGGGCTCGAGGAAATCAAAGAAGGCTGAGGAGGACAATGAGATCCCAAATTCTCAGCCGGACTTGCAGTCACTGACCATTAAATATCATAATGCAAAGTGACCCATTTCTCAGTAAACTGAAGGATTACTAGGGCTCCCTGAGGGCCCTGCTATAGAAAGTAACTTCGGCACAGAGAGCAGTAAATAAAGCTCCATTAATCTCCATTATGCAGATTCAGCCAAACAGTTGATTCTATAAAAAAATCAAATCAATAGTGAAAAGATTTTGTATTTCCTGAAAGATTTAGATTTACTACTTCATGCCACTGTCATTGCTGGAGAGGGCTTTATACCTGTGGGAGGGCTTCCTGTAGGTACTCCTTCCCTGTATTAGCCACCATAGGGGCCAATTCACCAAACACACTTAAACTGAAAGGTTTAAAAGTGGACCACACCCAGTCTGCCTGGCCACCACCCAGGAACACATAACTAGGTCATATCATCTATGAGAAGTGGTGGAGGAAAGTTTCTAGTGGGAAAAGTTAATATGCTAAATGTTTAAGGCCTTAATTTCTTTCCTATATGTTTTTAAAACTTTAATTCTGAAATCTTGTGAATAAAACCTACTTGACAATAGTCGAGCTTCCATGAGCTGGCAGTCTGAAAATCTCTAGGCTGCTGCTAGGCATGCAATGGGGCTGTGCCCCTTTGGTCTGGACTTGGCACAGTTCTCCTGGGGGCCCTCTTTTAGAGGTATTCATGGTGAAGCTGGGGTGGGGGTGCATAAGAAAGCAGGAACACCCAACTGACCCTGTAATTTCAGGGTATAGTTTCTAAGCAACTTTGTGGCTTCCTGGAGTGATTGAGAACTGGTCTATAAGTATTGCTTTATATCCACTGCTGCAGCATGATTAACAATGGCCCCTTTCAATCTCAATAGTATCCTACTTTGGATGATAAATTATATGATCACCTTATCTACACACCATATTCAATTGATGATGGAATTCTGGGGAACAAGGCCATATGCACTGCTTGATGTTCAACATATAATACTCAGATTTACTTAATGCTCTGAACAGAGCTCTACAGGACCCAGCACCTCTCTGCTTTCTTGTCCTCTTCCTCTCTTCCTTCTCCAAAGCCACTCCCAACCCTAGCCCCTACGTGTGCACACATGTGGACACACACGCAAACACACACTTGGACACACACACCACACCACAGCCCAAGGCCTTTTTGCCATTGTTCAAACTTGCCAACCTCCTTCCTGGACATGACTTTTGTACAATGTATCCCTTGGATACATTGGAGTGGTCAATCTCAATTTTTGCCTGGATAAATGCAATTTGTCCTTTGGGTCAAGGATTTCTTCATGCCCTGCCTTTCAACTGAGACCCTTTTATTCACTTTCATAGCAACCATGTCCTTCTTGATTTGTAAAATTACTTCCTTCATGTTTGAATCCTCCATTAATCTATAAACTTCATGAGGACATACTATCCCTGGGGGCTTCATAGCATAGATTATTAAAATCTTTGGTGAATAAACAAATGGAGCAGGGTAGAACCTGGAGATCTGATGAATATTTTAAAAGTCTGGGTGTGTGATTCATGAAGAACAAGACATAAAAAGAGGCTTATGAAGGTGAGGAAGAGAACCATGGCTAACAACTGGGTCTGCCATGAAAACAATGTGATTCTATATTCAGTTAAATATATTTAGGTCTCAATTAACATAATGCTTGCCAATATGTCTAATGATATTCTTTGATATTCTACTATCTATTCCCAGTATCTCAATCTCCAAACATAATATGCTAAATTTAAAGTGTTTTAATCTTTTAGACAATAAGAAAATAAGCACACAGAACATTCTTCTGATTAAGGAAAACAACTCTGCTGCTAGGAAAATTTTCTTGTTTGGTTAATATATTACTTATAGAACAATAAAACATGAGAGTCAAATATCTACTAAAAAAGGATTGGGCCCATCCACCTACCCTATTATAAATCAGACTTCTCCTGGCAGAGACTGCCAATGACCTCACAGAAAATAACATTCTGACTTCAAACGGCAGTTTGTGATTTAGCACAAGCCACAATTTTTTTTTTCATTTTCAGACAGAAATTGTTTTAAAATATTTTATAATTCATTTTCCATATAATATAATTTTAATACATACCTGGTTTTGGTTTTTAAAAATTATTTTTTAGTTGTAGTTGGACACAATACCTTTATTTTATTTATGTAGTGCTGGGGATTGAACCCAGGGCCTCACAGATGTGCCAGGCAAGTGCTCTATTACTGAGCCACAACCCCAGGCCCTCTGGTTTTGGTTTTTAAATTTATCTTCTTATTACAACCATGAACATGAATAACAATTTCTGTTAACAAAACTGAACCTTTTTTAAAAAAATCAAAATATTGATTTCTAATTAGTATACACTGCCATATGAAGAGGGTTTGCAAGGCAAATCTTTGAGACATAGCAGCCTACTGAAATATTTTAGTCCCTCATCCACCAGTTGAGTTATTTTCAATCAATAACAATTCCTCTGAAATGCAGTTTCTTCACTCATAGAATGGGGATATTAATAGACTCTGCCTGAGCAAAAAGCATTGTACCCAGGTCAAGTATCTACCACATAGCTACTCTATGTGGTGGATCACTTTTTTAAAAATGAAAAACCAAAAAGTAATGATAAATGACCTGTTAAAATTCTAGTTCACTGGAACGTGGTAAGCAGAACAATACTTCTGCAAGATGTCTGTGTCCTCTAATTCTAGAACCTGAGACCACACTACCTTACATGACAAAGGGAAATTGAAGCTGCTTTAGAATTAAGGTTGCTAGTCAGTTGCCCTTAAAAATGGGGAGATTATCTTGAATCCTCTGGGTGGGCCCACTCAAATCTTAAGAGTTAGTAGGGTCTAACAAAGGAGGCACAAGAAGGAGTCAGAGAGAAGGGGCTTGAAAAGGACTTGGTCTGCTGTTGCTAGCCTCAAAAATGGAAGAAGGCTGTGAGGCAATGCTTCTAGAAGCTGGGAGAGCCTCGGCTGCCAGCCTGCAAAACAGACCTTGGTTTTATAGCTGCAAGGAACTGAATTCTGTCAACAACATAAATGAGCAGGAAATTCTCCTCTAGGGCCTCCAGAAAGGAATGCGACCCTGCTGACACCTTGATTTAGTACTGGACTTCTGACCTACGGAGCTGAAGTGATAAATTTGTATTACATTCAGGCTGAAAATTTATAGCCATTTATTCCGAAGCAATAGGAAACAAAAACAATTATATAAGGCTTCTTCTTGACTGAGGTGTATAAGCCATATGATTCCAGTTTCTCCCAACAGACTATCTTCTCGGACAGATGCAAAATTGTGCAGTGTATATAAGTGGTGATTAATGGATATCAAGTGCTAAAGTCCATTCATTTTATATGCTCCTCATCTGGATAAGCTCCTTTAATCCTTAAAACAGCACAGGAGACACTATTCCTATTTCTCAGAGGGCTAAAGTAATTTCCCAAGGTTTCAAGGCTAGGATGAGGTAGAGGCCTAGAGGGAGTCTGGTACTTTTGTTCAAGTCCACCCTCTTAGCCACCAGGCCATGTTACATTCTGCCAGCTAATCTTCTCTGGTCCCAAAAGCATATACTTTACTCAAGAGATGATTACCCTCCGCCCCCCACATTTTCTAGCTTTTTATTTTACTAAGGATATTTTAAAAAAATATATAAAAATCATGACCTAGTACTTTTATTTATTAGAATTTAGATTTATAAGAAAGGTACAAATTCAGAACAAATTTGGCTTTATGGAGAACCTACCATTTGTCCTTACTTTTAAAAAAAATTTTATAGTGGTAAGAACATTTAACATGAGATCTACCCTCTTAGCAGATTTTTTTTCTTTTGCAGTGCTAGAGATTGAACCCAGGGCCTCATGCATGCTGGGCAAGCACTCTACTGCTGAGCTATATCCCCAGCCCTTAATATACTTTTAAATGTATGATACAGGATTGTCCTCTAAAAGCACAGTGTTGTATAGCAATCTCTAGAACTTATTCATCTTGTTTGACTGAAACATTGTACCCATTGATTAGCAACTCCCCATTTCTCCCTCCCCCAGGCCCTGGTAAATATCATTCTATTATCTGTTTCTATGAGCTTACAATTTTAGATACCTCACAATAGTGGAATCATGCAGTATTTGTCCTCCTATGTCTGGTTTATTTCAAATACAAATATTTTAAGATCACATAACTTACTTTTAGCTAAACTGTCCAGTGTGTTGAGAGAACTGAGGAATTTGGAATAGAGGAAGAGAAAGCAGGGCATGTTTACTCAGGGTGGTGGTTGTTGCTTCCCTTTCATTTTCCTGCTGAGCTAGCAAAGGACTGAATAAAACTATTAAAAGCTCAGCTTTAGAAATTCTGCTCAGTTTTCATGCTGGGAACAGGTTTATGTATCTGTATGTGTTTTCCTGTCCTTTAAATAATTAGTTATTGTTGGCCTTTAACAGTCATTCCAGAATTCTTTGAAAGTAATTTGTTGCATTGTTTAAAAGCCTAGTGACAAACTAAAGTATGACATTTACTGAGACATGGCATTGTTTTTAGCTCATTATAAAACAAAAAGAGCCATCTGTGATACTAAGGACTGACACCTACAACTAGCCTCCAATTCTGATACTCAGATCTTAGGCTAGACTATTCTGAAAAGTTTTCAGATTAGCAATGGACAATCAATAAGTATTACATCCATGCTTATTTTAAGCTCCTAGAGTAAAAGAGTGAAACCACAATACAGAAGATCAATAAAACAACTTTTGATTATCATCAGAAGAAAACTGAAAAGACAAACCCCAAATTTAGGAAACCTC